GCAATGACACAATAAACTGAATAATTTTCAGTGAAAAACTGGAAAAAGTGTGGTGTTCTAAAACTTTTGACCGGTAGTGTACATCAAAGTGCAAGGTACAAAATCCCCTTTACCCATATTTTCAACAGTTTTACACTCATAAAACGTGACACAAAGAAGGGTACAACAGGTAAAATATGCTGTCAAACCTTTGGACGCCATTCAGAACCCCTAAATCCTCAGCCTCATCTTTTTGGAAACAAATCAGTGTAAAAAACATTAAAGCTTTTTAATATGTTTGAATACTTAGAAACATTTTCAAATGATCTTCTGGGTATAATATTTCCAAACTATAAGTGGCAGACAAACACATAGATTTTTCAGATCTTTTAATATGTTCATTAAAATCCTGTAGCCAGTTATAGCTTATATTGGAAATTCTGTCCCTCTATAGTCCAGTGTAGTAGGTGTAGTGGATAGTCCATGATGGAGAGCATCTTGTCCAGTGTCCTCCTGTCCCTTGTCGACACAAATGTCTCCATTTCGATGCCAATAACTTGGCCTGCTTTCCAGATCAGTTTATCGATCCGGCTGATGTCCCTCTGACTGGTGCTGCCTTCCCAACTGACCACAGCAAAGTAAAGATTGCTTACTACCACAGACTGGTAGAACATCTCCAGAATCTTGCAGCCCATGGTATTTAAAGGATCCTCAAAAAGTAAAGTCTATTCATGCCCTTCTTGGACACAGCATCACTGTGGTGCTTCTAGTCCAGCCTGCTGTTCAAGTGGACTCCCAGGTACTTGTAGCAGTCCACAACTTCTACCTCCAGGCCCTGGCTGGTGATTGGCTCAGCTGTCATCCTCTTCCTCCTGAAGTCCACCACCAGCTCCTTGGTCTTTTCCACGTTCAGGTGCAGGTAGTTTGCCCGGACCGCTCCAGGAAGTCTCCGATCAGAGTCATGTACTCCACCTCTCGTCCGTCTTTAATACACCCCAGCACTGCAGCATCATCCGAGGATTTCTGCAGGTGGCAGAACCCTGATTGTACTGGAAGTCTGAGGTGTACATAGTGAAGAGAAAGGGGGACAGGACAGTCCCCTTTGGTGGTGCCCCCACATCACTGACCACAATATCAGACAGGGAACCCCCCCCCTCTCCCCCGCCCTCCCCAATATAACACAATGAAGTGTTGCATTGGAATAACATAGCAGTGTAAGCTCTTAATAATAATAATAATAATTCATTTTATTTGTATAGCGCTTTTCAAAAACTCAAAGACGCTTCACAGGATAAAAGCAACGAAATAAAAGCGTTAAACAACAAGCAATAAATACAAAGGTTGACAGTATAAAAATACAGCAAACAGGTGAAAAAATAAAATATAAAAAACAAACAAAACAACAACGAAAAAAGTAAATATCGAAATAAAGCTGAGGCCTAGGTGGGGAAAGCGGAGCTAATGGAGGTTGGTCACTAAGTGCTTTGTGCGTAAGGAGAACAATTTTCAGTTCTATTTTGCAGTTCACCGGATACCAACAGAATAATATATGATATAATATAATTTCTTTTCTATTTCCTGTCAGCACTTACACTGCAGCAATTTGAATCAACTGGAGGTTTTTCTGAGGGTTTCAGGGACATCCTGATAGTAAGGAATTCAAATATCCCAGTCTAGAAGTAAATAAATGCTCAAGCTTTTTTTCACCACCAGTTGGAGGCAGGAAGGTATTAATTTGAACAATAATGTGAAGTTCAGACAGGACACTTTGTCAGATTTTAACCATTTATTTGGGATCACATACATTTCGTTTGGTGGTAACTCTGCTCGTGATGCTCTGGAACAATCTGAGCAAGCATGACACTGATAATCCCTGAGATCACAAACCCCCGCAGAGCCATGAATTTACAATATGCAATTTTTCAAATACGGTATGAACACGAGAACAGGAGACCAACTAAATAGTCTTCACTTACAGAATCTAGATTAAATAGTTCAAGGTACAATAATCAACCATCTGCAACCTACAGTCCCACGATATGGGAAACACCGGGGTTATATGATTGAACTGTTTTTAAAAGGTGGTGGTTGGGGAGGAGGGGGAGATGTGACGATCTGCAGAGGCTGAAGTAGCAGTGATGTGGTGAGCGTGAAGCGGGCAGAATGAATGAACGCTGCCTCAGTTATAAAGCATGCTAAGTGGGTGGGCTGGACTTTAGCGATGATGATTGGACAAGAGGGGCCATGTGACACCCTGACTCCATGCCTGTCTGAACTAACGCGAAGCTCTTTGTGAATAAGGCCGTCCTAGAGAATCGTTGTATGTGTGAGCTAAAGGACATATGCATTTCAAAAATGTCTCCAAGTTTCCTTACATTACGAGCCAACATGATTCCATCCAGTGTAACTGTGTGGTTAGATCGTGTGTTTGAGGTGTTCAGGTTCATGTTTTTAAATTACAGGGCATTCAGGCCTTTATGCCTGGAAAATAGTCACATTATTGATCTTCAACAACATTTTATAAATACAGGGGAGGTAGGATCTAAGTCTAAAGCTGGTGAAAACACGTGGGTCAAGAGGAAGCTGATGCACTTTTTTTTGCTAATTCATTTGTTGAGAAGTGCCCATAAAGCAAGTTAAATGGATATATAGCTTAATAGAGCTGTCACTGTGCTTTTCTTTATTTTCTCTGGTAATGATGAGTAATAAGGTTCTTGGTCTTTCTCGTTATTGTAGTTTAATTCTAAGCCAGATGAAGTTTTCTCTGGATTATTTTCCAGATTTAAAGTGCATATTTATTAATTGTACCATGGAGCTAGTCATATTCATGACGTTCTTTGTCAGCAGCGCAAAAGTGATGGATATCATCCTCACTGCAGCACAATAAGCAAGATAATCAACTTGTGTGGTAGTAAGGTTAAAAAAAGAAAGCTACCCTCCATGTGCCTCTACTCTAAACAATAGATGTCCATCCATTTGAGAATTATTTTTCCAAACACAGTGACATTTTCAAATTGTTTTGCAGCATATGGTCAGACCCAAAAGTCGTTAAAGAAAATAGTATTCACTGTTCAACTTCTATGGTATATGTCAGACTAACATGTAGATCAAAACAAGGTTGGTTTATTTAGTTTAGCTTAGGCGATGCTGGAGCAGACAGTCTCTATAGGTTTTTGTGAGTTTTGCGATTGTGACAGCTGTAGGAAAACTGCAGAGAAGCATGCAGAACTGCAAATCTGCCTCCTGACCTCAACTTTGGGTCGGCATGTCTTAGGTTTTCTAATAAACTCAGCTTTATTTCTCCAGGTGTCCGTATTGTTTAGGGACACCACCTCAGCCAATGGTCTAATGATGACAATCTAATGATGAAATCTTCAAAGCACAAGTTGTCTTTGAGATGAGAAGGCACAGCAGAAGCCAGGAGTTCGCCAGCTCCTCATCCAACGTAACAGATACTTAAAAAACAAACAAACAAACAAACAAACAAAAAAACAGAAGCCCAATACAAAGAACACCAGATGACCCAAAAAACAGCATTTACCTCGCATAATAATCCCAAGAAACAAACATATGACGAGTACAAGAATACAGACAGCAAATCACGCTGGTCATTAATATAACGTGACCTTATGGCTTCTGTATACAGATATGTTTATCGTTATTAAGACATGCTTGTAACTTCATAAAGCGAGAAGGTGTTTTTTGAAGTGTGCTCCACCGAAACATCCCGCCTCTCTGACTTTCATTTCTTCTCAAGCATTTATTCACAAGTATGGTATTCAGGAATGTGTGTTGCTTAGTCGAGGCTATAATTTACTTATCAGTCTAAATAAAATATGTAAACAACCTTGCAGCTGCAAATATGCATACTCGCTTTAAAAAAACCCGCATTCTTATGCAAGTCATTATTGGTCAGATAGTCCAACATTGCACTTTCATCACATTATAAAATATACACATATAACTGCCTTTTCCAACACAACTCTAATAAACATAATCTAACCATAAACTCGCTGCCCCCTGAAGCTATAGACCGTACATCCAGTTGTTTTAAAACATCAAGTAAACAGGTTTACTATGAACATCTTACACAAGGTTTGTCTGGAATTATGTCATTTTCACAAATAAACTGCATTCGTAGACAAGCTTGGACATGGAAAAGCTTTGTTTATATTTAACTACAAGAAGTTAGGGGACATCCACTCCTGAATGTCTTCAACACTTTAAATGGTTGCCAATTTCTATGGAACTATTTGCAGGGCTGCAGTTTTAGACGTATCTGTGTATCAGTCTTGTAAAAGTGTAAACTGATATTCTGCCTATGTATGAAATATCTTGATGCCAGGATAAAAATAGGAAATAACCCTCGTGACAGCAGTGACTTGAAGTGGCTGACCTTAGGCTGCCAGTATCACAAAAATAGTCTTGATTCCTATTTTCCTGAAACCCGGCACAACACACACAAATTTCTGATGTTTTGGTGATCAGTGGGAGATTAAAGGAGAATGAGTCAGATGTAGTGTTGTAGACAGACGAAACAGAATAATAATAGACCGACTATTGAAGGTGGTTCAATAATGGCCCATGATGCCCTCTCATCCCCTTGAATCAGCAGACAGATTCAATTAAATTGAATTAAAGTCAAATTAATTTCACTTCAGTTCAATTTAATTCATTTAAAAAATTTAATTGAATTTAAATAATTTTTATGTGTGTGGCATCAATTAACAATATGTGTTATCTCAGGGCCCTTCACATAATAAGGTGAAGACCTTAGAGTGTTTTATTATAGAGACAAATCCAAACAATTCCCTTTGGGCAACAGTTTGACAAAATAGAGGAGATTATGAGCTTTATTTTCATGAAACAGAATGCAGATGGAGATGCGAGCACAAGTCCAAACACCAGACACATTCCCCTCTGCATAAGACAAACAACTTTGCAGATTTAATGATCATATGTTGGCACAACATGGAAGTCAGTACAACAATGAAGACAGACTTAATGCTTTATTAGTATTAGAAATACTGACTCGGCAGGTGGAGTCATGTGACCAGTCACATGACCTCCTCTTATCCCATTTAAAGCGAAACAGATGGATAGAAACAGATAAAACAGATTCAAAATACAAATTCAGAAAACCATAAAGATACTGTAATATGCATCACTAAACTGAGACCAGAGGGGTGGGTGATTAATAACTACACTTTCAGCTAATTCATCTCATTGCTCTGGAATGCATATTTTATTTACAGTCGTATGACAATATGTAAACAAATGGAACAATGCTTCTTCAGGTTTTGTTGTCAAATGAATGATGCAGTGACAAAATGTGAACACACAGATATGACAGAACTCAAATTTGCAAAGACATATGGTTTTATTTAACTTGCTCAATTATAAAATAAATAAATCATTTAAAAAAATTACTTTAAGACATTAATCTATAACCACTGACGTTTAAATTCTACTGTATTTCACTTTATAAATAACACCATCATGCTATTAATTGTGCTATACAAGTGTTTTATCTTTGTCCCATTGCCTCCTTTCCACTTTTATTTATTTATTTATTTATTTTTAGCATCGTTACATTATTTAACAGAGTAATGTGCCTCAATAATTCAGTCAAAAACTCTCTCACATCAAAAACAAATCACTGCCTTATAACTGATCAGTTTAATGTATAGAGAAGTGTGTATGGTTATTTTCTTAGCTCTCTTAGATAGATAGATAGATAGATAGATAGATAGATAGATAGATAGATAGATAGATAGATAGATAGATAGATAGAACTTTATTGATCCTTTTGGTAGAACCTCAGGGATACTTCTGAACCTAATGTACTCAATACAGTATAAATCACTATTAGATGGCGGATACACCAATAATCAGTCACTATTTGTGGATAAATGCAGACCATTTCACAAGTGTTTTGCTTTCACCACATTGAAGGTGAATTTGGACTTCAGAAAGGCCATGCCGGAATGCAAAGCCATCACATACAACTGACCACTGTGTTTACCCTGATCAAATCACGTGGAAAAGGAACTAGGCTGCTACAGAATAATGACACACAAACCTCCAACCTTTTATGTTTTACTCTTTGTTACGCCCAGTCTAGGGGCACCTGAACGCAACATGAATGCGCCATCCCTCTCCGGTCCCAAGCAGCCACACCACAGCAGTTTTACCAGGACAATTGATGATTTATTTATAATAAAGGTGGGGTTAAAACAAAGGGAATGATTAACTTAAAATAAGAGTGAGCGCTACCAAAAATAACAACCAAAACGACGCTGAAGTGCGGGAGAACCAACTTGCCTATCAAAAATAAAAGTATCGAAAATAAACACAAAGTCTGGCCTCCCTATCTAACAAAAACATGAGAAAACGGGTTAAACAAAAAAGGTAGCAGCTCACTCCATTCACAAAATCAGTTATACACAGGACTGATGACGTGGTGCTGTGCCGGTTAGGATGCCGGTGAGGAAATGGCCCCGCCCATCTGACCCTGTCTCTCTGCACCACTGGCAAAGTCCTCCCGCTGTATTTAAGACCAGAACTTCCGCTGATCAGCCAATCCGGTCGTCGTGACAGCGCAGCCCTATTTACATAGGCAATCACAACAGGAAATAATAACATCAACAGGAAACAGTAACATTCTATTAACAGATACGACCACAGTCGTAACACTCTTGAAATGCATTAACACTGCTGTATCACATTGCAAATGTGATGTTGCAACATACAACTTGTGATAGAGCAGACTTGTTTGTCTCACCTGGTATGATGATCACTGAGATGCTTCTGTTTGTGTTTTAGACATTAAATATGACATAAAAACTGTATACACTTGTTTTTCCATGTCGTATGTCTCTTAGAGTAAGATTCCAGGCGTGGGCTTCGTGAAGATCCATGCTCCCTTTAACATTCTCTGTCGAGAGGCTGAATTCATGAAGCTAAAGATGCCCACCAAGAAGGTAAATCTAACTGTCTCTGGAATATGTGCACAAAACAAATCTAAATTCAAATTGTAGGTGTCCATGAAGTAAATAACATCCTGTCTTGTTTTCCATATAATAAATGCACTGAGGAACTCGATGAAAAATCTAATTCAGTGCTATTTATTACAATGTCAGCATTTTTGAGTTGTGTTCATTTCGTGTTGAACAAGTTTGTGTTCCTGTTCAAAATGACCATTCCACTAAGACTTTTCATAAAAACTGTATTAATGCTTATGTTATCACTGTTTGTTGTGATTTTTAATTTTTTTTTTTAACACAAGTCCTGGTGAACATCACAAGTTTTAAACTTCTATTTGTTATTTATCGATTATTATTATTAATCAGATGAAACATAGTGTACTGTTTATCACACACCACTTTGGGTCAAAGTTATCAAGAACATTTTATAAAAAACATTTTCATTTTTTATACAGTCACACAAAGTAACACCTGCAGTGTCACCTGTTGTGTTTCTGGTCAAAAGTAACCAAGAAGATTTTATTCATGTACAAAAGAATTTATCCCAAAAACTTGACAATTTCACAATATTCCAAGATCAATAATTGAATACATTAAAGAACAACTAACAAGAACAATAACAGTACAGTGTTCATCAGGGGCTGCATGGTGGAACGGTGGTTAGCACCATTGCCTCACAGCTAGAAGATCATCTGTTCGTGTCCCAGTTAGGACACCTGGGATCTTTTTGTTTTCTCCCTGTGCAGCATGGGTTTCTCACACAGTCCAAAAACTTGGGTTAACTGGTGACTCTAAATTGTCTGTAGGTGTGAATGTGAGTGTGCTTGGTTGTCTGTCTCTAAGTGTGGCCCTGTGATAGACTGGAAACCTGTCCAGGGTGTCCCCTGCCTTTGCCCTAAGTCAGCTGGGATAGATGCCAGGAAGGTGTTGACGTGGTTGAATGTAGGGTGCCAGCATAGCTTTCCCCAACTCCTCCAGGAATTGCCTCCTCTTGAAAAATTTCCCCTGTTTCCATCCTAGATTCACCTCCATCCACACCATGGTCTGGATTATATTCTGTATCATCTTCAGCTTCTGATACTTCCTCCTCTAATCCATCCTCACTGTCAGTTTCAGGTTCCTGTAGGGGTTGCACACGCATGCATGAATTTATAGACCCCCTGGTTTAGTAGTTTATGCTTTGCTATAAAGTTGATGAGAGTCCTCTTGGTTGGGGATTTTAATGTCCATGTTGATGACACCTCCTGCCCCTTCCTTGCAGATATCATATCATCACTGAATCTTGTTTTTTCAACATGTGTTTGGTCTTGTACATATTAGGGGTCATACTATGGACATTATTTTTGGACTTGTGGGAAGAACCCGGAGAACCCGGAGAGAACCCACGCTGCATGGGGAGAACATGTAAACTCCGCGCAGAAAGATTTCAGGTGTCCGGCGATCTTCTTGCTGCGATGCAACGGTGCTAACCACTGCTCCACCTTACAGCCCCTTTTCAAACATCCATCCATTATCTATATGCCGCTTAATCCTCACTAGGGTCGCGGGGGGGGCTGGAGCCTATCCCAGCTGATTTAGGGCGAAGGCAGGGGACACCCTGGACAGGTAACCAGTCTATCACAGGGCCACACTTAGAGACAGACAACCAAGAACACTCACATTCACATCTACAGACAATTTAGAATCACCAATTAACCTCAACATGTTTTTGGACTGTGTGGGAGGAAGCCGGAGAACCTGGTGAGAACCCACACTGCATGGGGAGAACATGCAAACTCCACGCAGAAAGATTCCGGTTCCCCCACCGGGACGCGAACTGGCGACCTTCTTGCTGCGTGGCAACAGTGCTACCAACTGCGCCACCTTGCAGCCCCTTTTCAAACATAATCAAATCGTCCTTTCATTTTTTTGAGTAGAAGATTAGAGATGTTAGGTCCTATGTCACAACCTTTCCAGCCTCTGTCTTGAGACACATTTTATTTGCTCTATATTTGTTCCTATTAAGTCCAGTTACAAGCAAATGTAAAGTTATCTCCTACCACTGATACTCCTCAGCTGCATGTTTCCTTTAAATCTGAAAAGACAGACTAATGATGTTGAACAATTGTATGATTGCTATTGAATTGAACTGAATGGCGATCAATAATCTGTAGCTTCAATCTGGACAAAACTTGTCATTGTTGGTTCAGGCAGCATAGCCTCTAAAATGACTCAGTGTTCTGGGTCTCTGTCTTTCACCATGCAGTGTTAGAAACTCAGGTGTCATATTTAAGCAGTTATTGCACCTTGAAAAACACATTAATTAGCCCTATAAAGGGTTGAGCACATTGCGACTTTGTGCTATGAAAGGTGTTGTATAATTAAACTTTACTTACTGACTTAGTGGTAGCAGTAAACCAGAAGAAATGGTTTGGGCCTTCAAGTTTCCAGATTCTAAGAATTAGATGAGCATTTACTCTATATAGTGTACAATTAGGTGTTCAGTGCGAGTCTTGCTTTTTTTTCTCTACTTCAACTATTTGATTCTTGCGCTTGGAGTTCCGTGTGCCTGCTTTAAATGGCATAATAGTCTGAATGTTTTATGATGGCGTGCTGCTGATGTTTTACCTAACCTTTACCAATCAGTTTCTTTCTTGCTTTGTGTTGTTTTAATGTTTTGATAGTTTGTTTTAATGTTGCCATTTTTAATGCATTGTCGAGAACTTTAGAATGCAATTCTTAGAGATGTTGGTGAGGTATGACACTTTAATCATCATTTTGCATCAACAGGTGATAACATGTTTATATTGTGGAAATAACTTGTTTTCTTTTTGAAGAAAGATTTTAAAATCCTAGAACAGGGGTCGGCAACCCACGGCTCGGGAGCCACATGTGGCTCTTTCATTCCTCTGCTGCGGCTCCTTGTGGTTTTGGAAAATAAATAATGGGCATTTCATTTAAATGTATTTTATTATAGTTCGTTAGTTTTTAAAATGTTATTCTAAATTCGAAGATTATGGGGATCTTATACATTAAAATAAAACATGTTTAATTTTTGTCGCTCAAAATATGTGTCACAACCATTGATGTGTGACACCCGCCGGCATGGACAGTGTTGCCAACTTAGTGACTTTCTCACTAAATCTGGCGATTTTCCAAAACCTCTTGGCTATTTTTATTTTTTTGTCAGATGCGACTCCCGACAAATCTAGCAACTGCTTCTGGTGTTACTGGAGACTTTTCTGGTGTTTTGGAGACTCTGAAATGAAAACACGTATCGTATTGCAGCTACTGTCCTCAGCGGGCAGCGGGTGCTGCTGTGAGCTCCTCCACGTCCCAAAGTTCTCACAGCCGGTCAGGAGTCTGGTCAGCAGTCCCAGCTGCAGTCAGCAGGACAACCAGACATAATGTTTACTTTGCTGCAGATGGATGATTTAAATTCAACTTTTTATTTCATATATACGAGGAGGACTCAAATAGACATGGAGTATTTTATTTGAAAGTAACCTTCAATGCAGCGGCTTTTTTTTCGCAGTTCAAAATGTTTTTGTTTCATGCAGAAATAAAACTTCATTTTCTCTGTAGCAGTTCATTGATTTCATCAATGCAACACACTACAGTTTATTTTTTAAAAAATACATAGCATAAAGGTAAAAAAAAACTATATATGCAGTGGTATCTTCATTTTAGATGTCAAAAGGGTTTTGTGGCTCCCGGTGTTTTCTTTTCCATGGGAAACGGGTCCAAATGGCTCTTTGAGTGTTTAAGGTTGCCGACCCCTGCCCTAGACTGACGACTGTGCAAATAAGACTGTGTGTGTTTTGTTCTAACAGGGGTTTAACGAGCAGTTAACTTTATATAAAATTTCGGAAATGTAAGAATGCCAATTTAACTTTTGCTGTTGTAAAAACCACAGTAATTGGCTGATCCATACATTACTTCTACATAAATGGAATGCTACTACTACTATACTATACTGTACTGTACTATACTATACTATGCTATACTATACTATACTATACTATACTATACTATACTATACTATACTATACAGCAATGTGTAAATTGTTTTAGATTTTTTATTTCATTTTAGTATCGCTGAAGTCAAACTTGCTCAAATATTTGCAGCAATGTATTCTTGTGTTCTAAATGTGTGATGTATATAAAGAGGTCTTGATTTGTTTTGTTGGAATTTGTAGGTGTATGAAGTCAAACAATCAAGCGGTATTGTGGAGAAAATCAGCTCTCTAGTCAGTAAAGTTGTGGAGCCTCTCCACCCTCATGTTGAGGAACATCAACCCAAGAACATCAAACACCTGTCACACACTTTCTCGAGGGAAAAACAACACTTGTAAGTAGACCTTTGCACTGGTTGACAAAGCATTGGACTCATATGCTAGCATGATTGTAAAGTATGTGAGGGGTGTTTCATAATGAATGCTTGCTGTGAGCAGGGCTTATTGTGGAAAAAATGAACATACATATGTAACTAAATGAATGACTGCTTGTTTGTTGTACCTCTGGCCTGATGGGTCTTTTGCAAATCATGGCTACAAGGCTTAAAAGAAGGGGAACGCTTATGAACCCATGTCTAAGTGTTTTTTCAAGTGCCAGTGGCCACAATGCAAAGCATAATTAAAAAGTGTGTTGTAGTGGAGTGTTGTATTGATACTCTGGTAGGTGGCCTTACAGAACCAAACAAGGGAGTCTGGAAAGGTAAGGGGGCCCAGGGCACAACACTTTATACAGAGGGTCCAACAGTATGGAGATGACATGTAAATACAGCAGTGATCAGTTCATGATTTGCACGCAAGCAAACAATGAATAAAGATCTGGCAGACAGAAAAGAGGTGATGTAATCAAAGGCAAGTGTTAGTTTAAGTGTTTCAGACTCATCCTAAAATAGAATCAATTCATGTTTTCAGTATCAATCTACACACAGTATTTTGATGACAAAGCAAAAACTGATTTTTGAGTGTATACAGTCATGGAAAAAAATATTACATCACCCTTGTTTTCTTCCATTTCTTGTTCATTTTAATGAGTGCTACCACTAAAGGTATATTACCCGACGAACACAATAAACATGACAAAAAATGCACTTGATTGCATCATACTTTATGTCCTGTTTGACATGCTTAAGCTTAATTTTATATAAGAGGCCATTTCATGACATAAGCAGCACTGCACATGCAAAGGCCTGGAGTGGTTTCCTGCAGCTTCCTCCCACACAGTCCAAAAACATGTTGAGGTTAATTGGTGATTCTAAATTGTCCGTAGGTGTGAATGTGAGTGTGCTTGGTTGTCTGTCTCTAAGTGTAGCCCTGTGATAGACTGGTGACCTGTCCATGGTGTCCCCTGCCTTCACCCTAAGTCGGCTGGGATAGACTCCAGCCCCCCGCGACCCTAGTGAGAATTAAGCGGTGTATCCGAAAAGTTTCAGGACTGGTGTAACGAAAGATATGTTTCAAATCCAAACAACAAACTACAAATTTTCCCCTTCGAAGTAATCCCCTGGGGGCCATTTAACAAAGCAGGTTCAACAAACTCTGAGTCTAATCCTGAACTCTGAGTTTCCGGTTCCAGAACAGTGGGTCTGAGTTAGTTTAATCAACTCGGAGTAGTTTGACCTGGAGTTAAGCTCGTGCACCACAACTATAAAAAGCCAGCATCAATGGAGCCCCGATTCAAAGAGTCACCATGGCAACGGGGAAGTGGAGGGCTGTGTTTTTCACCCCACGAGAATTAGAAATCTTAATGTGCTCATACGACAAGTTTAAACACGTTTTTAAAAAGAAGTGCAACACCGCTGTAGCTGCAAAAAGAGAGGGAAATGGTGTGGAGAACGTTGCTGCTCGGGTCAACGCGTAAGTTTAAATGTTACAGGGGAAAGCTGGTTGAATGGTAGCCCATTAATTTATTTCATTTAGGTGCAATCCTGCGGGGGAGAAGCGCACTTGGCAGCAGCTTAAGATGAAATATAAAAACATTGTTCAAGTCTGAGGTTGCAGCACAATGTCATTAACAGAATCTAATTTAAAATTAATTGAACAGATCTCTACATCATTCTCCTCCTTGATCGCTCTGACAGGTTTGTATCCGGGGAAAACGACAAAGATGGTAAAAGCCGTTTCAGGGCGAGGCACACTTTTCTGACCGCCCTGCATACAGGTCCCTTACTCAGGTGCTCTGCATCTACGACATTGTACAAAAAACTTCCATTTGCAAAGAAACGCAGCGCAACACACAATATGTGCTGAGATGTGAGAGCATGACTACAGTTGGTAATTGGTAATTAAACCCACACTGCACTGGGAGAACATGCAAACTCCACACAGAAAGATTCTGGTGCCCCCACCGGGACGTGAACCGGCAACCTTCTTGCTGCAAGACAACAGTGCTACCAACTGTGCCACCTTGCAGCCCCTGTTTAAAACAATATTCAGAAATTGTATTACTAGGCAATAGCTGCAGTAGCACTGAGAGATGCAAACACCAAACAAACAAAATTTTTGAACAAAACCTAAGATATTGCCCCATTTCAGAAAGGTTGACATGTTATGTTGTTGTGTGTTGACAGTGGTCTGCACAGTGAATAAGGGGACTGAATTTAAACAGACATAAACATAACATTTTGTGTTTTTGTGTTTGTTAACAGGTTTGACCTCTCAGACAAAGATTACTTCTTTGACAGCAAAACCAGGAGTTCAATAGTAAGTCCCAGTTTGCATGTGATCCACCAATGTCGACACATAGCTGTGGGTTGTGGCTAACTTGTTTTACTGACACATATTTAGTCAGTGGCAACAAAAAATACTTAATGTCATGGAATAATTAGTACAAATGTGTATAAAACTTTGGTCAGATCCTCCTCGAGGTCTCTTATTCTAAACCAGATGCTAAGCACAGCCTGATAACTGTTTGTTGTTCATGATGAGGGCTGGGACGACATCCATTCTGTTCTGATGTACCACTGTCATGCATAACCCTGACTGTTTATTACATTTCAGTCAGCAGACAATCACATGTACATATTTTTCTACAATGCACAGCTCAGTATTATGAACAGACCCAAGTATGAATTTAATTGATGTCATTATTGCTATTGCAGATGAGAGCTTTACCATAGTTGTATTACCTTGTTGATTGCTATACATCTGACAGTTTCAGTTATCCAGCTCATGGTAATCCTGTTCTGTGTGTAAGTGTCTGATAAGTGGTGTCACAGACCCCCTCCCCTATTTAGGAATAGTTGTTTAACTTTAACATAGATGGCTTCCTTGACTTCTCTCTTTACATTGCTGTCCTTAAAAGAGTGTCCCCTATCTTTTATGACACAGTCTTGAGGTCCTTCCCCAGACTTCCCCTAAACTGCTATTCACAATTTGAGTCAGACATTTTCAGAGTTGTTCACGCCTCATGGCATGTGAGTCTTGGGCCATTAAAAGTTGAACCATGAACTTTGGTGGTGAGAATAAATACCTGAAATTTCAGTTACTTAGAACTGAGGAGGCCTTTTGGATGAGAGGTGAAATGTCTTCAGTAGAAGGCAACTGCCCTTCTCTTTGGTTCTTGGAGCACTTAGGACATTTTGATTACTGAACTTACTCTTGAGTATTCTCTATGACAGAGGTGGGCAATCCTGGTCCTTGAGGGCCACAATCCTGCATGTTTTAGATGTTTTCCTCTTCCAACACACCTGATTCAAATGATCAGCTCATCATCAAGCTCTGCAGAAGCCTAATAATGATCCTGACCATTTGAATCAGGTGTGTTGGAAGAGGGAAACATCTAAAACATGCAGGATTGTGGCCCTCGAGGACCAGGTTTGCCCACCCCTGCTCTATGAAGCCAATATTCAGCATGATAAAACAGTAAAGCTCTGTTTTTGATTTCTTTTTCAGGTATTTGAAATACTAAAAAGAACAAAATGCAAGGCCACGTACAGCATGGGTAAGTGTGGATCAACACAGGACAAGCAGTATAAATCAGGCTACTATTACTGGGCCACTTGTACTTTACTCACTAATCATTATCCAAGTCACTGGTGTCTGCCTATATTTTAGAGTTATGTCAAACTAGATGGTTGGATTTTCACTTGACAAAATGAAAGTTCTAAAAGTTCTAAAATTCTATTGTTTTCTTAAACTGTATTTTTTGATTAGATTTATTTTCTATTATTTTATGAATGAAATATTCAATCAATGAAATGTGAGATTTAAAAAAAAAAGAAAATTACGAAAAAAGAAATTCTGTCCATATCGGTTTGATTGAGTGGGCTGGATCTAAGCAGTTCAAAGTTCAGTTAGAAGCTACCTGTTCTCTGAGCCTCCACTAATTGTATTAAGGGGCCATCTAGTGGCAAAATGTTGTTGTCACACTTGACTGACACTGCACATGTGCAAGGTGCACTTACAAAATCCGTGATGGTCCACATCTACAGAAGAATCAAAGCCTGCCTCAGAAGCGGAAGCTCTGCAGAGGCTTGGTTTTATTAATTGTGGCTGCACCCTTGACCATAGGTCTGAGTGCAGCAATGAAACGTGTTACTAAACAAGAACATGGCAGTGTGCTTGGGTGACTTACATAGTGGACAGAGCATACTGTTCCTACAACAAAAGTCTCATTTCTCTTCACCTGGAATGTGCTGGTGCTTCTCTGCACACAGCAATGGATAGTCAGGGGCCAGAAGATCCCGTCTAGAACCGCTTTTCCACCAAGAAGAACCAGGTGCTAGTTCATTGCTGGTGCTAGTGCCAGTGCTTAGTTGGTTCAAATCTTGCGCCTCCTAAGAACATGTTTCCTTTTTCTTTGAGCCAAGTCAGAGTCACGCCATCCTTCACACATAGCCATTTACTGAGCAACACTCCACCATACGGAAGTCCACACAGGGCTCCAGACTAACTTTTTCACTGATGCGACCGACTTTCTCATTTGGTCGCACTTTCCACATTGTCGCAGGCAAAACATACGACTTGCTCAAGATTTTGTTATCGATAGACTCTAAAATTTACCGATGTTCCCTGAACACATTACAGGCGCCAGTTGCTGTTGGTGGCTGCCGTGTGCTCTGATCGATGTGGGATCAAAAATGACTTTAAAAAGAGTAAACTAGGGCATTCTAAGATTTGTCCAAGATAAAACCGAGTGACTCTTTTCTCATGCAGTCTTTTCTATGAACGGAAAAAACAGCGGATGTAGGTGCGCTCCATTTTTCACGAGAAGACCGCATTTCTAAGCGTAAATAGTACACTGAAGTTATAAAATGACTGTTTTCCACCACTGTGATGCTACTGGTTGGACACAACTCTACCGGATTTCAACGTGCAACAATTTGTGCAGAACTTCTGTGTGTCCCGGGTCTCATTCCATTACATCTACGATTGGACCAGGGATGTCCCGGTGATAAACAACACAAATTAACGCTTGTGTGTCCTTTTCTGTGTTTCCATTGGTCTTGTTGGTCACGATAACACCCAGCGCACCCCAGCCCCTGAAGTACTAGGTTCTTACCTCTGGCCCAGCAAAGAGTTGCTGTTTGCTAAGCACCAGCTTTGAGAGCCTAGAGGTGGTGCTTAGATGGTGGAAACACAAAGAACTGGTGCTAAGTCAGGCTCTGGCTCTGAACTACCACTGGAACCAGCTTGGTGGAAAAGGGGTACCAGTGGGGCTGCTGTCAGTGTTGGGGCCTTTCTGGGCCTGCTCTTTATTGCCTCCCTGCCTAGGAAAAGCCCTCTTGGCTGGCTCGGCTTTTGGCTGCTTCGGGATTGTACAGAATTAAAAGATCAGATAGCAAAACTGGGATTAGCTGTTTTGCCAGCCTAGTACCCTGGAGCAATTTCTTCACTTCATTATGTGATTTGGTTGCATTCGGCATGCCTCCGTCCCATGGGGAATTCACAGCAGCAGGCTTGGAAGCCTCAGTAGAAGCAATTTAAACACCATCATCTTCCTTGTCTTCCTTGTACATGAGGATCTCCAAGATTTCTTTGTCGTCATTCTCATAATCCAACTCCAGTTCCACAAATGGAACCACTGTGGTTAGGTCCTGCTAAAGCTTTCAGCTAGCACCAGCATCCATGTCAGTCCTGTCCTTGACCTTGCTGTCAATTTTTGTATTGCTTGTAGGTAAGTAAGGGTCCTTTCCCAACAGACTATCTTGGTATGCTAGCCGTTGACAGACTTTTAATGGCAAGACAGTTACAATACCTGCATAAACCGGTTGCTTCAATGACCAGCCCAAGGTAAATGGCAAATCATCTGTAGTACCCATATAGTGCCTTTTTAACCTGAGCTAGGTTCTACCAAGTGCTTTTTTCATTCACCTGTTTACACACACACTCACACACCATTTACCATTCTTGCCCAATCACACTTCAGCACATGGAGGGGCCAGGGGATTGAACCACCAGGCTTACAATTAGTAGGAAACCCACTTCACCAATGAGAACCCGTTCTCCCATCTGACTCATAGCCGCCCCATAAAGGGAAGCACAAGCAGACCTGATGTGAGTCATGACATGATATCTTGTTGTTACAGACACACAGTCGATCCCCAGAGTCTACTTCTCCTCTGGTGTACGAGGGGGGTTAACATCCATTTTTAGGCTGAAGTGCTAATAAAAAGTGCATTAACTGGAAGGCTAAATGTTAAGAGTGGTGCAAGCTGATGTGCTAAACAATGGAATGGTTAGGTGGTGAACATTTCAGTTTATAATGAAGATCATCGAGTCAAATGCCCGTTTCAAACATGGGACATGTAACATTGCTGGCTTCAGCAATCCATTAAAAGTGTTTCAGACACAGGTCACTTTTCGGTCAATGTTCCGTATGGCTTTATGCAGAAGTAATCTCCACTGTGCCAGAAAGAGTTGTGATAATCATGCGAAACTGACCATTAATGTGATATTAGGCAATACACCAAGTGACCTAAAATGCATAGTAATGCAATAACAGACTCAATCTAAACTAATGGCTTATGTGATTAATATGATTGTTTATGAAATGAGAAGTAAACTGTTCAAATAAAACAGGGAAACTGGCATGCTGTAACAATAAGCATCAATTATTTTAATTGGGGAGCAAAGTGAGGAAGGTGTGTTGTGATTTTGGCACACAAACTGTGTAATGTGTAACGTGCCTCTGTGATATTTTTTGACCAAAACTGATGCTGAAATGTGGAAATAATTCTTTCCTAAATAACTAAGTACTGCTGCTTGTGCATGTCTGTAGATTAATGTGATGGTTCAGTTCAGACATGTGCCATGTTGAAAAAGATACAGATATTTTCTTGGTTCGACGTAATAAGATTGTCAGGATGACTTTTTCAGAAACGTGAACAAGTTATGCATTTAGACATGTAGGAGACCCATTATATTACTGTCAGTTTAATGGAATGGGGTCCATATCTGAAAAGGGCTAAAGTGTATTGCAGACAACTAGCATCGGGCAATGGAATGGTAGGCAAGGTAGCTCCAGCAGACTATTTAAAGTAGCTACCCTGTCCAACAGATTGTCATTTGCTCTACAGCAGGGGTGTCGAACTCCGGTCTTCGAGGGCCGCAAACCTACAAGTTTTAGATGTTTCCCTCTTCCAACACCCCTGCTCTACAGGCAGAAAAGGTGTTGAATGATGTTATGTTGTATGTTACGGAAACTACCTAATTGTAGGTCACTCTGCCTGACACAAACATTATGATCACCTGTCAATCAGGATTGCTCTCATGAGATAAATGCTTCTGAAGAATAGAGGTGTATCCCATAGTGAGACATCCTAACAAATGCTAGGAATGACAATCATACCAACACTTGCATCTATGTTTTCTCTGCAGGTATCACCAGTCTCCTTGGTAGTGGTGTATATACAGCAGCTTATCCTCTTCATGATGTAAGTAGTATTGGTGCTTGCACCAATTATTGTCATAGGTGGTTATAGTCCCACATCAGGGGTTGCACGGAAGCAACCATAAATCATATTTTTGTAAGATGAGGTGAAAAGATACCAACAACAACCGACTACTGTTTTCTTCAGATTAGTTTACCTCAGATGATTAAATCCTGCCTTATAACTTCAAGTCAGTGTGTACAAAAACTTGCTATGTTCTTTTTTTTCTTTCCTTTTTCAGGGAGATATTAATGAGGAGAGTGCAGAGCCCAATGACAGAAAGGTAAGAATGTTATTTCTACGTAATGTAACCAGAAAAAAGTCTTCAGATGAGTGGCCATGTATTCCATTTGTACAGCTTTGTACACACTGACATAAACTTTTGGACCACCAAATAATATGTTATGACTTGTGTGACAATGACAATAAATATAAACTGGGTCTGCTGTTATTTGTGTTTTTGCGTTACAGTCATGTTGAAGTCTACTATACAATACATGTAAAGTTCAAATGCCGTTTACTGCTGCTAAATTAGATCCTACAGAAAAGATCTGCTGGTCTAGCTAAACACATAGTGAAGGAGAGAAGAAAGTACAGGAGTGATTGGGATCAAAAACAAAATCAAATAAATGAACAAAAAACAGAATAACTACTGTAGTAGGAACACACCACTAACCCAACCTATAGATGAGCACCACCATTAACCCCACACCACTCCACTTCAAATAGAAGTGCTACATAAAACAAAACTATCCCTATGCCACTGCCTGTCATCAGGAAACCTTACAGAAAGACTAGTGGTAATATTAAACACAGTATTAGTAGCAGCTGTGGTACAGGTGGTAGAGTGGGCTGCCCAATAATCACAGGGTTGGTGGTCCTGTATGCCAGGAGGCTAGCACCTTGCATGGCAGCTCTGCCACCATTGTGTGTGTGTGAATGGGTGAATGAGAAACAAACTGGAAAAACACCATGCAACCTAATGTTAAAAAAGTGCTGGAAGATGATCTGGCTTTTTTACTCATCCTTCTCAATAATACCAGAAAACACAAGGTATCACCTGCTGCTGAGAGCCAGTTGGTCAGGACTGTCAAGAGTCAACCAAGAAATAGAAAGCAGATCTGCAATGAATAGATAGATAGATAGATAGATAGATAGATAGATAGATAGATAGATAGATAGATAGATAGATAGATAGATAGATAGAATTCCTGAGTGTTCCTGAGAATTTAAAAGTCTGATGGCACAGGGGCAAAAACTGTTGCAAAACCTTGTGGTTTTGCACTTCCTGAAGGGAAAGAGGTCCTGCGAGAGAAATGATCCTGAGAGAAAAGAGTTTGTAACAGGGGTGTGTATTGTCCTTTAAAATCCTTTTTGCCCTGGGCATTCAGCATTGTTGGGCCAAGCCCTCAACAGTTGGCAGTGTGACCCCAGTGAATTTCTCAGCTGCCCTCACCACCCTTCTCAGTGCATTTCTGTCAGATACAGTGCTGCTGGCATGCCATAGAGGGGTGCTGCTGGTGAGCACACTTTCTATGGTGCCTGAGGACAGATGGGCTGAGATGGGCCTTTTTCACCCTCCGCAGGTAGTGCAGCTGCTGGTGAGCCTTTTTTGCAATAGTGGAGGTGTGCAAGAACCAACTCAGGTTGTCAGATACATGCACTTCCAAGAATTTTCCATGCTGCACAATCTTCACAGCAGCGTTATTGATATAAATTGGGGTGAGTGCAGACCGATGTCTTCTGAAATCGACCACCAGTTCCACATTTAGAGCCAGATTGTTACTCCTGCACCCCCCCGTGAAAAGCCTCACCTCCTCTCCGTAGTCCTTGTCATCATTGTCCTGGATGAGACTCACCACTGTTGTGTCGTCAGCATATTTGATGAAGTAATTGCTATTGAACTTTGCACAGCAGTCGTGGGTCATCAGGTGGAGAGGAGGGGGCTGAGGACGCAGCCTTGTGGAGAACCTGTGCTCAGTGAGATTGTGTTTGATCTGTTATGTCTGCTCTGCACAAATTGAGATCTGCCCATGAGAAAGTCCAATATCCAGTTTTGCAAGTGGGTGTTCAGTCTGAGTGGGCCCAGTTTGGTGATAAGGTGCTGAGGAATAATGGTGTTAAAGGCCAAGCTGAAATCAGCGAAGAGAAATGGAACGTTTTTCTTCTCCAGGTGTTCCAATGACAGGTGGGGAGCAGTGGATATAGCATCCTCGGTAGAACGGTTTGAACGGTATTCAAACTGGAGTGGATCGAATGCCGGGGGAAGCAGAGAAACAATGTGATCCTTGACTAGCCTCTCAAAGCACTTCATAATGATGGACGTGAGTGCTATAGGTCGGTAGTCATTTAGAGAGGTTACTGTGGAGTTTTTTGGAATTGGGATGACAGCTGAGGTTTTATAGTGTGTTGGCATGACAGACTGACACAGGAAGAGGTTAAAAATGTCAGTAACGACATGTGACAGCTGTAATGCACATCCCTTAAGCACACAGTCTGATGTCTGGTCAGGACCAACCACCTTCCTCATATCGATTTTCTTCAGGGCCTGGCGAACCTTATTTAGCTTATCCAGAAACTCAGTGTTGTCATCACAGGTCTAATGAGGGGTCCTGTAGTCTGTGACAGGCTCCTTGTGTTCCTATGGTCTTGAAAATGTTGTTGGAGCTTTTGACCATGAGTCTTTTCCCCTAGCCTGATTGCCTTATTCAGGTTGGCTCTTGTAGATCTGAGGGCAGCCATATCTCTGGATTGAAAAGCAGTGTTTTTTAACTTTCTGCAAGGCTCAGAGGTCATCCATGGCTTCTCATTTTTCCTGATGGTGATATATTTGCTGACACAGACATCCTGTGCACATTTGGAGATGTGGCCAGAGACCGCCTCTGCATACTCCTCGATATTCACACCCTGATCCTTGATGGCATCTTCCCTGACCACAGACCACTCAGTGGTTTCAAAACAGTCCTCAAGGGCAGTTATGGCACCCACTGGTCAGACTTTCACAAGTTTAGAGGTGGGCTTGGATCTGGTGAGCAGAGGTCTGTATGCAGGGGTCAGCATAATAGATATATGATCAGATGAGCTGAGGTGTGGACGGGGGGCTGTTTTGAATGCTGCTTCTGATGTTTAAATAGACATGGTCCAGTGTGTTGCTGTCCCTGGTTGCAAAGTCCACATGCTGGAAAAAGTGGGGTAGAACTTTTTTCATGTTCGCCTGGTTAAAATCCCCAGTGACAATGAAAACTCCCTGAGGGTGGTTGCTTTGCACATCACTCATGTACTTGAGTAGAGTGTCCAGGGGCCTCTCTGTATCTGCATCAGCAAAACAGCAATGATGTAAATCCTTGAGAATTCCCTCGGGAGATAAAAAGACCGGCTTTTAACTGCCAGATCCTCAATGTCTGGACAGCAATGTGAATACGACTTGTATGTATCCAAGCACCACCTGTTACTGATGTACGCACAGAGTCCTCCACCACAGGATTCTCCACTTAGAGCTTTACTTCTGTCAGCTCGGTGAAGCGTTGGCCCTGCTAACCTGATGGCCTTGTCTGTGACCCTTTTATTCAGCCAAGTTTCACTGAAGACAGCAGTCCATCACCTTCCGGTTGGTTGTCAGGTCCAGTTGCAGATAGTCCATTTTATTTTCCAGTGATTGGATGTTTGCCACCAGGATTGCGGGAAGCAGCATTTTGCAGGGGAAGGCTTTAGCTTTAGTGCTAGCCCCTCCCTGGGAGCCCTGCTTCTGCCTCCGCATGTACCACCGTCGATATCCTCTCTGCAAGCGGGTCACACCGTTGGGAGGTGACAGCAATGGGCTGGTAATGCTCGGGGTCCACAGCAGTCGGAGAACTTGTAGTATATCCAGGACACTTGGATCCATGAAACCTTAAACCTTTGTACTAACAAAGGAATATCGTCTCCAAACCCTCGGCTGACCACGATGGTCTCGCTTTAACAGTGAATGAAAGATTGTAAACCATTAGCAGCAACAAAGCAGTTATCTCTGATTCAGTATTGGACATGAGGTGAAACAGAAGTTATCTGGATGTTACACGAATGTGTGTTTCGTAATTATGATGTAAATGAACGAATACGAGCAGAGTTTCTGTGGGGAACAGTGTTGCTTTGGAAGTTGCATCTGCTACAAGGCAGGTACAAAGAGACTTCTGGAAGCCACTTGTGTCAGCCACAGAGTAAATACAAATCGGTGGTTTTCATAATACTGTGTAGACTTCATAGCTGTGTGTCTGTTCCGGGGAGGGAAGATTCATTCTGTGAAGTTGTGGCTTTTAAAGACTTTGGCCGAATTAAGCGTCTTTAAATGAGACAGTCAGGTCCACAGAAGATGTCTTTTTGCATCACAAGATGTTCCCACTGGCAACCTTGACAGAGGCAGGAACCCATTTGTATCTATTTGACTGAGTTGAAACCCAGCACTTAATCAAAATGTCCTCCTCTGCTACCGCTTCGTTTGAGGAATCCACCACATTTAAAAAAAAAAAAAAAAGACCATCACTGGTGCACAGTGAAACCGATCATATGTGGAACTGTGCCTGTGATATAATATTCATAGCAACGTTTTAAAAGTTTTAAAAGTTTTCAGTGTTTTTCTGTCATGAGCCTGTGCAGCCGCAGCCAACATGGCCGCCGCCATCTTCAATGTCCACAGTCAGATGTGTTTTACATTGCCATGGGCTGAGAAGCTGCAATGCAAGACGGAAGCCCTTTTTTTAGAAACAGCACCTTAAAGCTTGACTAAAGTTTGCTGCTTATCCCATAGACAAAGAAACCCTGTGGAGTAAAGATCTGTGGTCATATGAAACAACAAATGGCCACAGTGACCACCAGTATGTTTGTTGTTTGTCCTTGGGGTTAAACGCCTCACATTCATGCTTACAATCAAGTATGACGGCAGTAGTATTATGCTAATGAAAAATTGTCAGCCAGAAGATTGAGTCTTGGGTACAGTTGGGTGTTCTAACAAGGCAATGACTCCAAACACAAATAAAAAGTGGTGAATAATTAACTAAATCAAGACAGAGTTAAAGCTTTAGATTGCTTTCTCCAAATTCCTGTATTTCTGACCCAGCAGATTTTTGCCATATTTCCAGAAGATCTGTAATAAATCTATGATCTATGTAGCATTTTCTTTTTTAAAATTCTGTACAATTTTTGTTTGTTCGTTTGTTTATAGGTTGTTTTTCTTTATTGGTTCTATTTCCATTCACATTTCTAAAACTTAACTTAAACTCTCAGGGCATTATGAGTAATGTTTGCCTTTTTTTCTTTCTTTCTTTGTTTACATATATGCCCTGCTCACTTGCATATGTAAAAGTGAACAAAAAAAGCTTCAAAATATAAAAAATAAATAAATAAAAAATGTGTTAAACCAGCTTTCGCCCAGGCCTTTGTGTATACACCTCATACTGGAGCATGACAAAACGGAATATGCTGCTTCTATACTGCCAAGGCTTCAAACAAATTCAATCGCTGACATTCTAGCTCACATTAATAGAATTTAAAGACTGTCGCTTACTTTATGATTGATGTTAACAGTAGGGGTGAGCAGTGTAGTTTAGATATGAAGTCACAATTTACTGACAACGAAACACAAACAGGAACTCTACTTAACTGTTTTTAGTTTAGTTTTTTTTTTTAAATATCGCAGTAGAAAGGCTAAAAGAATATTAAAACAGGTGGAATATTACAATTAATTGCTGTTAATTGTCTTCTGCAGCTTTTGTATGAGGAGTGGGCAAACTACAGTGTCTTCTACAAGTATCAGCCCATCGGACTTGTGCGGTAAGAAGATGTTTCTTTAGGTACAGAATTTAGAGTCAATCACACTTATATTTCAATAACTGTGATACTAATTGTAGTTTAATTATCTTAGTTGAAAGTCTTGTTGAATTTGTTCCACCATTTGCAATGGTGATAGTTATTCTGTCTCAGGTTTTTTGGGAGATGCACAAACTTAAAATGCCATTGCTTCAAGCAGTGCTCAGATCTGCTTTAAAGGAGCTAAACTCTTCAAGCTTTTTTGTATTTTTAACATTTTTAACAATTTTTTAACAGTGGTGGGCCGTCAGGGCCAGCAAGGTCTTCTCTCCCATCCTAAACTCTATCAGAGTCACTGACTTTTATATTATTCTCAACAGTCTATTCTCTTCATTTCATAGTGTGTCTCTGGGCTGTGGTGCTTCTAGCATTGCATGTTTATATTGGAGCTTTTATCCAATCATATTTCAGCCGTCATGTGTTGCCAAGGGCTGCAAGGTGGCACAGTTGGTTAGCAGCAAGCAAGGTTGCTGGGTCGCATCCGGGTGGGGGCACCGGGATCTTGCTGTGTGGAGTTTCCCCGTGCAGTGTGGGTTCTCTCCGGGTTCTCCGGCTTCCTCCCACAAGTCCAAAAACATGTTGAGGTTAATTGGTAATTTGAAATTGTCCATAGGTGTGAATGTGAGTGTGCTTGGTTGTCTGTCTCTAAGTGTAGCCCTGTGATAGACTGGTGACCTGTCCAGGGTGTCCCCTGCCTTCGCCCTAAGTCAGCTGGGATAGACTCCAGCCCCCCCGCGACTCTAGTGAGGATTAAGCGGTGTATAGATAATGGATGGATGGATGTGTTGCCAAGTTCAAAGAAATCTGCCCTGAGGCCTTCAGAATCAAAAGTGTAGCTTAAAATGCATTGCGATGAAACTGTTGCTTTAACCAATCAGATTGAGAGTTGGTGGTCCCAGGGTCAGCCAACTGGCCCATGATAACGTCAACACTTTCATGTCCTCTGATTGGATGGTCAGAGAACTTAGCCAAAGCTAGCAGTTTCTGTCTGTAGGGACCTGCACAAGCAAGAACTTTATCATAAAAGAATTACGTTTTTTTATTGTTTTTTTTTAAAGTCAAGCAAGCAGACATTCTCAATCCTAAAGCGAATTAAACCACATGCCAGAAACACGACTGGACAGACTCAACTTTCAGCATTAGCCTCCATGGTGATAGAACCATGTTGGAAGTGAAGCACTCAAATTACCAGCTCAAAAGAGTGATTGGACTGTTTATGATGAAAGACCCCCCGTTAGCGAAGATGTTAGCGGTGCTGCTATTGGTAAGCGAGACTGCTACTCGTTAGCAGCGACGTCGGTAGAGAAACGAGTTTCTAAGGAAAGTTTACACGTTTTACTGGAAAATATGTCAAATTTTCTAAACACACAGCTTGAAAGACCGCATAGCGAGCCAAGACACCGCATGGTTTTTCAGGGAAATAGGGGTGAGTACACTGATGTGATGTATATGGTGCAGCTGTGGCTGCAATGAAAGGAGACTTGTTGAATTGTTTTAATTGAGTTTCTTACTTTAGTGATGTATTCATTCTCGCGACATGAGATACGTGTCTGCAGTGCAACGTCCTGTTATGCTGCCGTTCTGCATAATACTGATGGTTTCTGTAGCCGTGGCTTCATAATGACGGTGTTAGGAGGTGGTTTGATTCAGGTCGGACGCCACTGAAGGCCTAGGAGTAAAATGAACGGCCCACCACTGTTTTTTACTAACATGTTGCTGTAATGACCTCATAATTTGACATTACAAACTGAAAATGGACACAGTGAATGTATTTTGTTTAATTTAAGATTAGGCAATTTGGGATGCTGGACTTGAATGATAAGCTATCATAGAGTAATAGGAACTTTTACAATTTATTGTTCATCTGCTTTTTGTTAGGGTCCAAAATGCAGTTGAGCTGCTATGGGCATTTGACCAGAAGCCCATTAACGTTCGTTCTGTCCCTCTTGCATCCTACCCTCTTTTGTCAAATGAAGTCTAATTGACCATAGATTTGTTGTCATTTATATATTTTTCTGTTTGCATTGTCAGTTGTTTGCATGACCTAATAAGATTGGTGCAGAGCTGTCAGATGCTGTGTGCTTACCACAAATATCCTGCAAGGGCACCAGAACCAATACAATTAAAAATGTAGTATTTACCATCAGGGAACCTTACTTAGCTAGGCCAAGATATTACAATATTGTAAAGAGAAAACCATCTCCATGTGAAAGCACATGGGCCAGGGGGAAGAAAAAAACTCTAGTTTAACAAGAAGAAACCTTAGAAAAAAACAGACTCAAGAGAGAAAAGATGGGCATTGGAGAGACAACAAACTATAGCCTGGTTACATTTTTGTCTTGTGCCCTTAGAGTTATAGAACCCTCCCTGTGAGTATAAACCATTGTGCATTGTTCTAAGTCTTTAATTATGTAATTTGTTTGTTCTTTCAACTTCCTGGATAGTGCTTGTCTCACTGCTGCTACATTGTTTTAATACTGAGCTTACTTCACATGTCCAGACATCGACTTAGTGTTTATAATCAAAATAATTTACATCTTTTTATCTGTTGATATAGGAAGTACTTTGGTGAGAAGATCGGTTTGTACTTTGCCTGGTTGGGGCTCTATACCCAGATGCTGATTCCTGCCTCTGTCGTGGGGGTCATTGTCTTTCTTTATGGATGTGCAACAGTTGATGACAACATACCAAGGTAAACACAAATGCAAGTGCACACACACACACACACACACACACACACACACACACACACATACACACAAATTTAATTTAACAAGACCAGAAATTAAGAAAAGTCAAAACTGCTTTATTTGGTCAAGTCTTGAATTTACTGCTGCTGTTAGTTTCACAGAGATGGTATTGATACCACGTGTCCTTCCTTTCGGGTCATTCCACGCCAGTTAACCCAGATTTCAGAACTTTTCCCACTTTATGTCATGTATTTTTGGGGGGGAAAAAAAGACTAAACAAAACCGAAAAACTGACACTGTCCCATAGTGCAGGATATCATTTTATTTTTGGCCAAATCAAAACGAAATTAATGTTATTGATTGGATATTCTCTGTAATAAATACCACTAGAAAAATCCATTTTCTGATCTGTGTTTAGTCAGCTACAGTAGCAGCAGTGTAAATGGACTTGACAGCAAATCAGAGCCAAACATAAAAACATATTTATGTGACGACATGTATTTCCAGCTAAATACATGTCGGGTTCCCATGGCAACGCTATATTTACAGTGTGCGATGCTGTAACTACACGGCTTCATTCAGTTATTATTATTAGTAGTAGTAATGCATAACTCAGCATGTTTGCAGATAAAACATATTTCCTCAGCAGAGAATCTGTATCCACAGCATCAGTTGCCATGGTGATCTAGCAGGTAAAAAGACAACCACCTTTGTGACACTGAAAACTCTGACTTTAAGCTTGATATACCTCGCTAACCCACTAATCTCACTTCGTAGTACAGCCCTCTGCTCACGATAGGTGAGCTATGGTGGATGTTGCTGTGTTTTCTTTGTACTTGAAAACAATCATGCATTGTGATTCTTTTATAGATTTATTATTGGTCTTCTGGAAAGATGACAAAATCTCCTGGGTCTATCTGACTATCAAGGAAAACAAACACTGAATAACTATACAAATCAATGTTTTTTTAAGCAGTGAGGATATACAGCCAGAGCCTGACTGCACATCCCTTTTACGGGAAGCAGTAATATAGACTTGTAGACAGCACATTGCTGCAGTTACAGCAAAATGTTGCTGTAAAGGGTTTTGCTTTGTTGTTCTAACTGTGGTCACCGAGCAGGAAGAAGTTCTCTCGGGCCACAACAGTTGTTCGCTCCGAGACTAACCAGGGCCGAGCCTTTTCACTCACACTGCCAACCACTCACTGTCCTCTGCTCACACTTTCTCTGCACACACAACGGCACTGCTTTGCACTCTGTAACAACTGATCATACACTAGCATGAGTGAAGTGTGTTTAGGAATCCACAAGCAGAATCAAAATGAAACTTTATGAGAAATTCCTTCAGAATTAAAACTTAGGAATGAGTTCCTGGTGCAACGTGTCAAGTGACAACTATTGTTTTCCACTCAGCACATCCAAAACAAAGTAAGATAAAACTTTGTAAATTTAAAGATGGGGTCAAGCCAGGCAAAAGATGTTTGCTAATGTAAGCCAATTAGGAAAAAAGGTAAAGACAGGGAGATGAAAATATGAAAAAAGCAGAAGAGGAAGAAGAAATACAAACAGTTGGAGACAGAGGAAAATGTTTGATGAATTTGTTAAGAATTTAGGACCTCCTGTCCTTCCTCCACCTGCTTCTCATCATCCACAGGATATTATGACATGCTGCCAGTACACGTTTGGACTGAATGTGGACACACATCATACATGCTCAGTAGAAGTGTTAATGTCAGAGTCCCACCTTGTCACAAAATCACACAGTAAGAAAAACCAGACCCGCTGTCTAACTGTTTCAAAATGTCTTCCTGTGTTCATCGGTACACACAGTACCAGGAAGTTAACTGCTTTAGTGCAACTGTCTGATTGAATTTTTTATTTTTTTTATTCACCCTAGTCGTTTACCCATTAAATAAGTATTACCATTACTTCTTTTGTGCTGTACTTGAACTGTAGTTTGCTGTTTCAAAATGGTGCTGCTTGGCTTTTAACTGGGACCAAAAAAAGGGAACATATATCACTGGCCTTGGCATAGCTCCACTGCCTTCCTGTCCATTTTAGGGTTGTTTTTAAGGTTTTATTTCTTGTTTATAAAGTTTTACATGGGTGGACCCTCCATTCTTTAGCAGAACTTATTCAGGTCCACAAACCTGTTAAAAAACTGAGGTCGTCCAGTGAAGTGGTCCTTGAGGTCCCTAGATCCAGACTCCAAACTAACGATGACCGAGCCTTTTTCAGTGGCAGCCCCCAAACAGCCTACTGCTAGACATTAGGACTGCTTGCTCTACTGAATCTTTTAAGTCTGGGCTACAGACCCACCTCTACTCAGTGGCTTTCCCCTCAAGCAGGCGCTGACATCCTAGCTGCATATATATTGTTTTTCATTGTATGTTCATGTGTGTTCTTTTTAATGTTGATTTAGAAGTCTGTAAAGCACTTTGGTCAACCTTGGTTGTTTTTAAATGTGCTATATAAATAAAATTGACCTTGACCTTGACTTTGTAGTGTAATTAGTAATATTTCAGTGTTTTTCCTAACTAATAGAAACACCAATCTTTGTGTGTTTGTGTTCATGTGGGTGTGTGAATTTCAGCATGGAGATCTGCCACCCAAAGAACAACATCACCATGTGTCCTCTGTGTGACAGAGTGTGCAGCTACTGGAAACTTAGCACTGCCTGTGGAACTGCCCGGGCCAGTCACCTGTTTGACAACCCGACCACTGTTTTCTTCTCTATATTCATGGCTTTGTGGGGTGAGTGAACACACATCAGCCACTTCAAAAGATACACAACGACAGTAAGTGTCCACTTTGTGAGGTCTACCTATTAAATGTTGTGGTCATTTTGGAGGCTGTTATTTGTGGTGCTATTATTATTTAGCTATGTGTTATACAACATTTACCTTAGTTGCTGTCACTACGTCAAGCTGTACACTCGATAATAACTGGTATTCAGTTTACAAGACAAATATGATATATTATACAAATCAAAGTTTTAGTGCGGGGGTGTCCAATCCTGGTCCTCGAGGGCCACAATCCTGCATGTTTTAGATGTTTCCCTCTTCCAGCACACCTGATTCAAATCATCAGCTCATCATCAAGGGCTGTGTCCGAAATCACTCCCTGTGCCCTATATAGTGCACTATATAGGGTGCAGGCCATTTTGTAGGGGTGTCTGATTGTTAAGTTACAAATGTTACACCCTATATAGTGCACTGAAAATATCCCACAATGCACCATAAAAAGTAGTGTACAGCCGATGGTCACTACCCGAGCAACATGGACCGTCATGCATTGTGCGAAAGGAAATGGAAATGGAGATGAACGAGAGTGCAGAAAAATTCCTGTTTGTTTTGTTAAATTTTATTTTACCCGGACAGTGAACGTCGCAAAAATTGCGGCGCTCGGTTGTGATTTGGACATACAACACCACTTCATTTAAATTGCTTTTAGTTACTGGATCCTGAAGAAATGCTCTCTCATCTGGTATGTACAGCAAAATGACAATAAATTTGTTTTAATTTGATTTCTTAGCTACGCAATAAACTGTGAATTTGATGTGTTTGTACTACGCTGTTGCAGCGCAAATCGCGGCTCGCAAGCGACGTAATTAATAGCTCGAGTAGTGTCCGAAATGATACTTTGCCGAGGTGCTCCCTATATAGTGCACTACATAATGCACTATAGAGTGATCACTATATAGGGAGTACGGAATAGGGAGTGAGTGGGTGATTTCGGACATAGCCAAGCTCTGCAGAAGCCTGATAACGATCCTGATCATTTGAATCAGGTGTAAAACATGCAGGATTGTGGCCCTCGAGGACCAGGATTGGACACCCCTGTTTTAGTATCTTCTAAAATTGGTACTTCTCAGACAGAAGAGCAGGCTTCTCATTTGCAGTTGGTGCAGNACCCGCTGTCTAACTGTTTCAAAATGTCTTCCTGTGTTCATTAGTACACACAGTATCAGGAAGTTAAACTGCTTTAGTGCAACTGTCTGATTGAAGTTTTTTTTTTTTTTTTTAATTCACCCTAATCGTTTACCCATTAAATAAGTATTACCATTACTTCTTTTGTGCTGTACTTGAACTGTAGTTTGCTGTGCTTACGTTCTATGTGCTACACACACACATACAGACACAGACACACACACACACACTTATCTTTCTGTCTGTCTCTCTCTGTCCTCTGTTGCCATGATAACCAAACCAGCATGAAGTTTGTGAAGCGCTGATTTGGTTGGTTGACAGACAACATCCTTGTTAAGAAGTGACATCGATCACACTCTGTCTCCCTAATGACCAGTTTTTTATATGTTCGTTACTGTCGTGCTGTCAGATTCTCTCTCTCTCTCTCTCTCACACACACACACACACACACACACACACGCACGTTGAAAGCAGAAGTTAACATACAATATTGAAAAAGACACAAACTTTTTTTTTTCTCACTGTCTGACATTGAGGCCAAGCGTTTCCTGTTTCAGGTCAATTAGGATTTCCAAAATTATTTCTATTTGCTAAATGCCAGAAAAATGAGAGAGAGAATTTTTTACTACTAAGTAAGATGTTTTTATACATTAAGATTACTATGGCTACAAATTATTTGGGAAAGCCCAGATGATGATGTCATGGCTTTGGTACCATAGACTGTATAAAAGATGGACGTAGCAACCGCCCCTGAAAAATGAAGCCAACCTGGAAGTGTCAAAAACCTGCAATATCACTACGTCCGCTAGCTGCTGGCTCCAAAAAGCCCTGGCTCCCATAGACTTGAATTGGAAAAGAAGTGACTCCCCCTGAGCAAGTGTTCGGCAACAGTCGGAAGGAACCAAGAACCTCCAACAGAACCAGGCTCAGGAAAAGCGGCCATCTGCCTCAACTGGTTAGGATAAGAGTGGGGAGGAGGTGGGTGTGGATAGGAGGATAGCAGATGGAGAGCAAGCAATAGAACAGAACAATAAATATTTTGGAGGTCGGTGAGGACAGCAGCTCAAGATCAGAGACATGAAGCTCCAGAGATTTCTGCAGAGAGAACAAGCCCAGGACCTCAGGGGGAAATACAGAGTTACTGACAAGTAATGAATTTAGTTTCTTCTAGTTAAGGAATGGTGACTTTAACAGAGTCATTCATGCTTTGATCACGACCATGCTGGACTACTGTAATTCTTTGTATATTGGCCTCGATCAGTCGTCTCTTCACCGGCTGCAGTTGGTTCAAAATGGTGCTGCTCGGCTTTTAACTGGGACCAAAAAACAGTTACATATATCCCTGGTCTTGGCCTCGCTCCACTGCCTTCCTGTCCATTTTAGGGTTGTTTTTAAGGTTTTATTTCTTGTTTATAAAGTTTTACATGGGTGGACCCTCCATTCTTTAGCAG